AACTTAGTAACAGACAGAAGATTCTTATGTAAAGTACAGAGGCACCTTGACATTGCTAATTTATATAGGACTAGCTTTACTATATACGTTCTAGAGGTCTCCGATCATACGCGAATGATTTCGTTAAACTGATTTGAAGGGCCAAAGAAAAGAAAAAGAAATATACGAATTATGACGGTAACGGCTCTCGAATTGAAACTTGTATAAGATATTCGATGCGAAAAAAGAGCTGCTTGCGTTTGCACGATCAGCCCCTCCAACGATAAAGCGTAAACGATCAATTCCTTGATCCGTTGTCGCAAGCTAATGCCTAATGCCCATGTGATAATGACGCCTTATGAAAGCGTAATCGGGGTAACGTATCGACCCACAAAACCCTGCTTGTATAAGTGGGTTATGTATTCAGACCAGACAAATGGGCACATGTGTCTGGAAATTTCGACTGCATTTTTTCGATAGGACAAGCAAGCGTATTCACAGAACGGGTTTCCGACATGTAGAATTTCAACTATTTTAGAAAAATCAAATATTATTTGAAGCATGCTATTTAATCAAGGTCGTCTCAATTAAGCTCTATCAATTGCCTAACATACTATAATACATTATTTTCTTTTCTACTCCGATCACGCTTTTAGCATACACATTGTGTGAAATTATTGAAAAATGATTCACTAAGCTCGTTCAACGTTGAACTTAACGTGCGACTAAAGGGTATCTCTTGGTCTCTTTAGTCATATGCATGGTAACGTGCCGTGCGGCCGTTACGGCGGCATAAGGAACTGCAATATGCCGACTAATCAATGTCAAAGGCTGGAAGGACACATGAGGAACGTTGACTATCTTTATGCCTTCATCCATTCGGGTTGTTTGGCAACAATCACGGTGACTTCCGTAACGACAGGTGACATTATGCCATATCGCCCTAGGGTCAAATGACCCATGACACGCCATAGAGCATTGAGAACGATGGGCGAGCCAGCTGACACAAGTCGTGCTCGGAATGCCCAATGGACACACGAGTCACATCTTGTCTCGCTCCCACTCTGGCGCCAACAAGGCAGGCACGAATTTCCAGGCGATCTTTGACGCCGTTAGACGGTCCCCTTCTAACGCGCTAACCGTAACCAGCGGCATGCTTTCCGAATCGCGACACGTTTGCAAACGTCTAAAAGCTAGCTGGATAAAGACTTACAGGGACTGCCACAAAAGGGCCACAAGATGACTGAGGCGTAGAATGACTCGTGGCATTATAATGCCATCGCGTCTGTACCTTCTTGTTTGCCGCCATTGCCCTATAGCCTCAATAGTTGCGATGCCTACTGCCAGCAGTGTACTGGGCAAACCAACAATCTCCATATCGCATACATGGGCGAGCCTTATTTCGTTGGGCAACGGTTCTAGCTAGATAGCGTGTGCAGTGGGAGGCAGCAGACGAGAGCAGGCCGCGGATTCGTCGGTTTGACTACAATGAGAGGTTAAACTAGGCTACTTTCATGCTGATAAGCACGATCAGTGAAGCGTCCGTCTCTTAAAGAACGAGTAGCTATGGACAAGGAACTGAAGTAAACCTATAAGGAATTCCAGCGTACTCACATTTGAATCACAATGTCCTACGACATGACACAATACAACGTCGGCTATAACGTGGACATCATCGTAATATATCAAGCCAAGAGAGAACAAAAGCGAAAAGAACTAGTCAAAGCGTTACTTTTCACAAACATGCGCTAGCGATTGCTATGGCGTGCTCAGCTCGTCACCAGCGTAACCTACGTAGAGTGCCACAAGAAAATCTACATTAAACGTATGAACGTATCGGCACGTACAGAAAAAGTATAAGTAGATAAAAAGTACCTTAAAAGCGCCTTTATTAAACACAATATTATATATATTTCTTAAGTTCAGCTTACGTATAGGTGTATCGAGATTGTGTAAATTTGCAGCCGTAGTAATATTAGTGGTAGAAATTTGCTACTTACAGTAGTAATTTAGCGTTTTACTTCAATAATTTTAATACATAAGTTATCCAAAAAGTTCGGTGTAACTCTCAGCAACTCTCTCTCTCTCTCTCTCTCTCTTTACTCTAAGTATTATTCCTAAAGACGGTTTGTATACTTATCAGTTCTAATACACTCAGAATTCACGCACCCAGCACTTAATGGTCCATGGTCGATTCTGTTCTAACGATAAGTGACATAAATCTGCATTCATAGACTTTATTTTGGTTAATGGGTGCACGTTTCTCTTCATGGCGTACCCTTTAAATACAGTAAGACGTAAGAAATGTATAGACGGGGAGCCGCTGCTTAGAGAAATCAATCCATTATATTCATGAAATAGCGTACGCATGGAGAAGGCTGTTTTTTCTAAACAAGGCGCTCTCTAGTGCTTCTGTGCTCCGACTCGCGGAAGCTCAGAGGCAGCACGAACATAATAAGCAAATGAAAAGAAATTCAGCCTTTCATTAACCTAGTTAGAAAAATGTCAAGGTAAATAGCAACCTGTTTAAAAGCCAACGTGCTGCACCTCTGTCTTGATTTCCTTAATGTAGTTAAATTATGCGGATGATTTGTGCGCAAATACCGTCAGTTCATTTCATCACGCGGTCAATGCATGTTCCCATATCCCACGTATGCAAATGCAAAATTATATACAGGCTGTTTTCCCATTTTTTTTTTTCTAATTCTGGATTTATCGATTCTTTGGGTCTCGCTACCTGATCACGTTTAAAGCTCAAAGTAGAAAGAGTGCGATGGAGCACAGTTAGTAACTTACTTCTAGCAGACCATATCTCATTCTTTCTCCGTCTGATTAAATGGATATGAAGCAAGGTCAAAACCTAAAACTTGTCGTATTTGTTTAGGGATTGTTTACGGATGAGAGGTAGCGACGAGGCGCAGATTCTCCTACAAGTACGGTAAACAGCGGTAACTGGTAAAGGATAGTAATCGACGGAATCGGTAGATAGGTGCGGGTGGGTGCATTACCGCTGGCTTGGTCTGCTCGCAGTTCTTTAGCCTGGTTGCTTCTTTCTCTGCTCGCTACACTAGCCTACGACTCACTTCACTTTAGTCATTTCCCCAGAAAGACGCGCGTGCCCGGGATGAACTACCATGGACAGGCTTTCAGTGAGAACGACAGACTTCGGTATCTGTGCGAATGTGAACTAGAATTACGACTCGCTCTTGGTTCTCGCGGGTACCGCTCCATAATGAACAAGCGTCGCGCAAGGGGATATCGGCTTGTATGCAACGGCCATAGGGAGGTAGAAGTACGGGAGGCACACTGCTCGTTTGCGAGAAAGATTGATGGAGTAAAGTTTACATAGATGAATATTTCATTAATTACCGCCAACAGCACCATGGATGCCTTATTCGGTCGGGTTGGTTGCCGAACTAGTTGTTTCCATCGCAGGCGCTGCTGTTTCCCACCCACTACCACCGCCGCCACTACCTTACGATACCAACGTTCTCCACGAGCTATAGTAGCACGCTTTTCCGGACCGTCGTGTGCATTGACCTCTCTTAGCTTGTCCCCTAAAGGCCATCCGGTGCCGGCGTCGTCCCTAAGGGATGGCACTCACTGCGGGCGGTCCGCCGCCGTCGCTAGCATTGCATGCGAACGCTTCACTTCGGCGTAGTTAGTCTCATCGCGATGGAATGCCATTGTGCAAACAATGCACAAACTTTGTGCAAGTAGCAGAAAGAAATGAAGAGGAAAAGGAACGCTTCGAACAGAGAGTGCTCGTGCGGACACGTTGCTGTCAGCCGAATACTAACTTGGCATGGAGATACTCAACGCTAACAAGGGTTAACCCATGTTCGTATTAAACTTGCAATCACTCCTATAATGATAATAGAAAAGCAATAATTTTGTAGGTATTTTAATTGATTCTGTGAGACTTTCGGGGAATCTCAAAGGAGACACATATAGACAACGTTGTCTGAAAATTTCGGAAGACATACAATTTATATATATATATATATATATATATTGTTAAATGTAAGACTCGGTTCAACGATCTACCTCAGGATATATGACTAACTATATTGCCTGTTAATTTTTATCTACCATCCTATTTAGTATACTTAGGTTATTTGGCGTACAATAAACAGTGAAGGTTTAGTAATTTCTAGTTAGCGAGTTCTTCGTCCTGTATCAGCTGTAACACCCCCGACTGTGTTATCTTTGCTGCTATATCCGCCGCTTCCTATCTATGGCGGTGACAGCATATTTGACGGAGCTAGGGACTCCCATCAAACTTCCACCGCCCCCACCTTTCAAACCCAGGAGGCTTGGCCACGATCATTTTGATTGCCAGGTCGCCATGTTGACGCTGCCCTCGACGGCACCAATGTTCTCATTGCGGCCCCTACGAGTGGTGCCGTGGTGTCTTTGCGGGGTCGCGGTTATGGGTGGCGAGGCGGTGTTACTCAAGAGTGAATAATCGGTTTAATAACACCGGAGGGCAAGAAAGAAACTGGTTTCTCGGACCGCGCTTCGGGTCGTTCCGCGCGCGGATAGCTGAACTATGTGCCGTTCCATGTTACATGTGGATAGCGCCCATGGCACTAACAGTAATAAGGATCACAAACAATAATAAAACGTGATAGGAAAAAATGACTCAAAGCAAAGGATGAGTAGTAGAAACGAAGTGCGGGTGAAGGATGCCCCAGGCGCTACCGTACTGCAAGCACGAATATGGCCGTCTATAATAATGATAGCAATTCTTCTTTTTCACGGCCTCCAGATATGGCACTAGATGAAACGGTTGTGGATTCATCCAGACAGTGATATCTACGAAATAGCTATTCGATGATGCACATATTTACAGGTGTCAGGCTTTGGCAGAAATCAGCTATACTTAGTCTCATCGCCCGAATGTTTATATTATTGATCGTTGCCACGTGACGAATTCAGTGTTTAAAAGTGCCAAACAATGCGAATGAGCTCTTCTGATAATTGGCAGAAAAAATGTATTTCTTTAAAGCGTTCTTGTACCGAAAAAACGAAGTTGTTCAATTTAAGCCGGCAATGATACTACTGTGCGGTTCGTACATGTGTTGCCAACATAAACTTGCACTTAAGAAAAGCTTTATACTATTTCGGGCCGAACCGGTTACGCTACTGCCTCAAACTGAAGCGCAAAAGGAAAATGCCCAGACGGGACAGGCCGGACAGCGCATCAGAAACTCGAGGATATGTCATACATCTTTGCGGGATAAACCTTGAAATGGTAGCCATTAAGGACCCTAGCAAGGTAACATTACCTCGTATACCTTAAACAGACATTTTGTGGATACCTGCAGAAAACGATGTACAAATCTTTGAAACATATATACAAACGGCCGACAGCTATCCATGACCATTTCTATGCAAATGATCTAAATCGAGAACTCATTTCAGAATGATACAGAGCTTGACGGACATAAAATGCATAGAATTTACTTAGAACTCAGAACATGCAAGATAGCTGAAATCCAAAGTCAACAAAGGATTTATTCCAATGTATTTTTAAGGCGCCAATTTATTTCACCGCTAAAGGTTGAAATGTATGTAAAAGTGACCCTTCCTTTATTTTAGCACACATCATTAAAAACAAATAAGTCGAAAAACAGTGGTATTTGCCTGTAAAAGATTCGTACCAATTTAAAGTCAGTTGAGTCAAGTATAAGAATATATAAACCGCATTTACCACGCTTGTCTTTGCGCATTAAAGATGATAACAACACGACACCTATTTTGTGACCAGCCATTTAAAGGTGGCTCTATAGAGAAAGACATTGAGCGTCAGTAAAATTACCGCTTAAACTAGAAGAGCACTAAACTGGTCTCTCTAGAATAACGACACGTTTTCTCCGTTATAAATGACTATCTAGCCGGGGCTCAAAGGATACATGACCTTTCAGGGGTTTTGTAAAACAGGGTAATTTTCTAGCAGTATGAGCAACGCCGGTTAAGAATTCAGGAAAAATGCTTTACCTGGAAAACCAGGAGATAAGAGAGGTAATTGGCAATTTTACTGGCTGGTTATAGTGGTACAACGAGTGTCGATGCAAGCGAGGCTAGCGGCGGAGAGATGCTCAACAAAAGAGCTCTAAACTGGTATCAGCGTGTTCAGGCTATAAGGACCACACATCTCAGTTGCAGCGTCCAGCCAAGTGGTACTTACAATATAATATGTTTACCAGAACCTAGAAATACTATATAGAAAATGAGGCCATAACATCGTTGAGACTGAAGTGCCGCTAAGAGAGCGTCGAGGTGTTTACAGGTGACCCGCCTTGTCAACCATTTCTTCTACGCCGCGATCGCCCTCGGTGTCGCCGTTTTCATCACCTTCGTCCTTTGCTGCGTACGACTTACAAACTGCTTGAACGAACCTGTTGTACCTACTCGTTGAGTCGAAACAATAGGAAGTCGAACCCAAACGCTATGGCTAGTGTCAACTCAGTTGCTATGAATAAAGTTTTTATTAGCTTGTCATCATAGCTTGACAAGAAGGAGAGCTTTATCATAAAATTACACTTTCCTTCCTTCCTGCATTGCTCAAAAAAAGACAGTTTTTTTTGACATTTTTGACAAAAAGGACAATGTCTTTTAACTCACAGGATACTTATACATACATATACATATACACACGCACACAAGCGACAAAAAGGCACACATTTGTACAACGTTTCGCAAGAATGAAGCAGCTGAAATTTCAATGGAATTCTATTTCGGCGTACTTTACTCTTTCGGGACTGCTCACATTCATCGCTGAGTGCCGCAACTGGCCGACTAAAAAAAACTGTACACGAAGTCAAGGGGAAGCTATGGCAAGAAAAAAAAAGGAAGGAAAGGAAAAAAAAGGGAGAACGAAGAGGAAAAGGCTGAGTAAGAGGTAACATCGGTTTGAACATTAATGGCATTTTACACATTGTTCGGTTGACCCTGTCGTTGTGCCGTTGAGGCAGCGGATCTCTGCACGGCAGGCTTCCTCATTACACTGGTAATGGAGTATCTCATCCATCCTTGAGCACTTATATCTCGTCGTCTTTCCTTTCGTCTTTTGAGCTGGTCTGTGAAGTTGCGTTTCTTGCAGAAGGGTACGGAGAATGTCGCTGTGTTGGAGCGTCGTCGGGATCTGCCGGGATCTGTGTAGGATAGGTAGGCGGTTAGGTGGAACATTGGCCTGTCGTCCGGAACTGGTCATTTCTTGGATGTCTCGAGTCAATTACCTTTTGTCTGTTGTCGTCTCTACTTTTTGTCGTCGGACGAAGCTTCAATGAGATGGACTCGTACCAGCTTTTGCTGCTGCACACTATTTGTCGCCAGCGTCGGTTCATTCTCTATTGCCTTAGTTTCTGTCTCGTCGGGTCGTTGGTGTGCTAAAACGCACTCCTGAAAATGCCGCTGAAGTCCCACAATCATTCTCTGTTCTCATTCTTTGCTGGTTAGAGTCGGCCCTACGCCTCCGTAAAAGACGCTAGACACTTCCCCATACGACGTCTGTCTACTGATTGTAGTTTTGACGGCGACAGTTTTTTTTCACAAGTACAGCCCTCCGGATACGCCTGCCGTCTCTGTACCGTGTTGGTAGCAGCAATATAGACGCGTTACACGACCACAGAGCTGTGTCCGCTCGCTGCTTCGACAGCTTACCTTATTTCACTTGTAGCTCAACTTACTCTTTTGTTTTGTACTTCAGTAGCTATTTGGCGTTCCTCTCTTCTTAGCGTTGAAGGCATCCAGGTGTTCGTAAGAGCTGTTCGAGGAGTATTAGGGCAAGGTAGCTAACAGCGGCAGGCGCATATTTGGTTGAGTCATATTAGGCTACTTACGATTTGGATGTCTCTATTCGTTTTTCTTCCTAGCGTGTGACTAGGTTACTGATGGTATCGAAGTCTTATAACTTAAGTGGCAGATATCGCAAGTTGCGAACGCCTTTGGCTTACCAGCCTCAATGTTTTGAGTTTCACATCCGGTATTGCCGTTGGGCATTCCATCAGATGGCTGGCTTTCAGCACGAAACAAACCCCAAACCTTGACAACGTGTCCCTAAGATTTGCAGGTAAATACGTTACCCGCCAAGTTATCACGGGGATTGTCCTACCAGTCTACGGGCTACACTTTGCTACAGTATGTAGTCTAAGGTTAAGCGCAGAAGGCCGCACCACGTCTGAGGGACAGGCTCAGCCAACGTTAGCGAGAGAATGATATCAATAGAATTCTTCGCACAATTGTTCAGGAATGCTAAGCGGCGCCAGACCACGAGGCCTTCAAAGCCAACCTGCGTATGAAAGCCGTTCACTGTCAACCGGTCAATCGCAAGTACAAGAAAGAAAGAACACTGACTTAATAATACGAGCCGCCTGATTGAGGCTACAAAGTGTGTGGTTGAATAGAGTGTCTCAGTATGGCGGTACAGGCGAAATCTATGTGGCCGGGAAAGCGTCCGTCATTTATCAATCTACATTTAGCATCAACAGTTCTCTATTCGCTTCGCAATGTGGAATCCCTATTAACATTATTATTATTATTATAAAGCAAATCAACTCTCTCAGAGATGTGTGTAGAATGCATGATGAAGCCATCTGCTTTCAGTTTCATTCAAAACATTTGCCGCATCGATAACGAAAGTTCTTATATTTTTAGAGGCCAATTTCTCTATCAATGAATTTACTTAAAAATATACTGTAAGGTATAACTATTGTTCTATGCCAAGCCGCCTTGAGATAATCGATGCCGTAAGTGAAAGTGTATCTGAGCTGCGAAGAAGCCGCTGGCTCAGTCATTTCTGAGATGATTTTCATAGCGGTCTGTGGGGTCTAGTTGTGTCATGATCATGGTCAGAAATTGTGTCAGCCTGAACACGTTACTCCCTGCAAATACGTAACGCGTGCTAGTATTTCTCAAAGCTTATCGCAATGCCTTACCGACGCGTTATCCCCCTGGAAATCATCCCAAATGTGGGCAAACGTTGATATGTAGTTCCGCTGTGCCAAAGGGCCATCGGTGGTAGCGACAGGAGCTTATCAAGCAAAAGGGGTAAAAAGGACGGACACTAACAATGGCAATCCCAAAGCTAGCGTAGGTTTTTCCATTCACCGATGTTTCGGACGAGAAAAACAACGACGGACTAGGCAAGAAGGAGGTTGCAGTCCACGTAGTGGAATGGTGGCGAAGCAGTGATGTTAAAGACGAGAACTTCAATCGCCGCTTTTACAGCGCTTAACTGGTGATGTCGCCAGCCTAAGATACACGCAGGGGCTTAGACGAATTGTAGCTTACTGGTCATAGTTGGTAAACTAGAACCCAGCTACAATGATCTGATAATCTTATTAAAAAGGCAGTAAATTAGGTACAATGAAATGAAGGAGTAACAAAGCAATAAACAAGAGGAAGAAAACGCCATGTCAAAGACTGGAATGGGCGTCAAGGTCAATGGGGCGAAGGTCGAAAAATGCATGGAATAGTTGGTTGATTGGTTGTTGATAACCACCTCTACCGTCGCCGCTGCGGCACTCAAGGCGCGGCAAGGCCTTGCATTGGATTGGCGAAAGATAGTCAGATTTGCATAAGAATAGAAATCTCAGCTGAATTAAGGCTCGCAAAGTGGCCAAGTCACCGATATATTTCCATACGATGCCTCATGGTGGAGGCTAAAACCAACCTGACAACAGAAGCAGTCTGGTCCATGGAACAATGCTGTCAGCGTGGATAGACTTATCCTATGATAAAGGAGAACAAATGTCGGACTAAAAAGGTTTTACTCAACGCATCATTAAAAAACTAAAAATGGCTGTATATTTTTTTTAAATGTTTATTCACACACGCAAATATATTTGTCATATAATGTAAATTTGCACGATAAAACCATGTGACATATTACATCGTTGAGTCTTGCTTCGGGTCTGCGCGTAGCCTTAGCTTGAATGAGTACACACAGAGAATATCGGCCGTATCTGGGAGCTCGATGGAAGTATTATTGGAAGTTCTTCTTGATTTCGCGATCCTTTAATGTCGACTCGCGTTTCTATTTGCCTAGAAATTAATGGATGGGTTTGACTGAAATAAGCGCACGACATATTTGGCGCACCGGCGTCAGAAAAACTCCGCTAGCGTGGCAGTCATCGCCATTTGATTAGTAGCTATAGCTAAAGTGAGTTGTTGTATTATCCGTCATCGTATAATCGGACAGTCAATGATACGATCGGTTCCACGTCGGCTTCCCGCAGTGATCTTCGTGATTGTTGAGACGTATGACTTACAAAAACTATCGTTAATTAGGGTGCTTTCACGGGTCGCAAAAAAGGGGAATTGTAAATTGTTTTGAGTGGAGGGTTCTATTAAGTGACCTCATATGGTGATGCTTTATTTTCCCATATGATGATAAGTGTGTGGAAGTCTGTTCTTTATATCGAAGTTCAAACAATAACGATATAACTTATTAAGGCTTTTAATGCAATTTAGTGTAGGGAATCGATGATCATGTTTTCCTGCCTTAGCTAAGAATGGAATCGTCGTTACCGGACTTAAGCGTCACGAGTTTCTGCAGCTACGAAGACAATCACCACCATCGAAAACTATCATCGTGAAAACCACATACAATCGACTCTTCCTTTATAGCAGCAACCCGTTCTTAAACTTTCGCAAACTTCTTCTGCGCTTCTCCCTTAATGCTGGTAGTTTTCTCTATCCTAATAAACCACAATCTCCTTCTCGTCCCGCTAGTTTCCCGTAACAGTGTTTTCGTTCTTTTGCCAAAAAGTTGTTTTCGGACCTTCAACCTTTTCTCGTTTAAAAGCTGACGCTAACCCGAAACACACCACCAACAATGTAAACGCTTCGATAGCGAAGATCTCCCCAGACAGCAGGCGGGCTCCGTGGTGTAGTGGTCAACCAGGTAGGCGGTTTAAACCTAGTGGCCGCATAACTGGGGTGGTTATGACTGGGTAGGTGTTAGTGTACTAGCTGCGCTGGTAGGATTAGGCAATCCTATTGCGCTGTTGATGGATTATTCTCCCTTTCGCTCCCGTTCTTCTCTTCAGCTGCCACGAGGTCTTGCCACAGGGGCAAAACTACCACTTAACTAAGGTAGATTCGAAACTAACCGTACAGATTAGATTAACCCCCAGTCCTTCTGCTCTTCCTAAATCTTGACGTTCGCGGTTCTGTCTGTAAGGTCCCTCGATTATGCTCTTTATTCTAGCAGGAATCAACCAGCGAACCGATAGTTGCTATATCTTAATGGCCAACTTTTTTTAGGAAACCTTCGTTCAGTCTAGTTTTCACGTAGGTTGCGAGCTTCGTTATATGCTAAAGGTGATAGTGGTGTAGACACATGGGTGGGTGGCGTGGTACAAAAGAAGTTTTTGTTTCTCCGTAGATGGATACGGGAGAGGAAGGAGTTGAAGCGACAGGCCGCAGAGTCCGGAAAAACTAGTGAAATAATTGGTAACGGTTTGCCTTGAGAAGGACTGCTAGTAGGATTACCGAAGTAATGAAATATCTGTTGGTTAACTTCCGCATGCCTCTCTCAAGTATCAAACGAAACATTGGTTTCTTGTCGTTTCAAAATTTCCTGTGACGCGAATTATTAGCATTGGTCAATGTGAAGCAGCAATGGCGCCAATCAATTCATAAGCTTTCAAAGATCTGTCTGCTCTCTCATTGCATCTAACACAGTCAACTTAAATGCCAGCGGATGCAGACAGATTCTCAGTGAGCCTTTTATAGTCTTCATAACATAATTCAACCTTGATTAACTACGGTTCATAGTATTCAGGCTTATAGCGCTAGCCTTTGTTAAGCAAATCTCTAGGTTTCTTGTAATTAATTTGACTCTTTTCTCTGTATTTAGCTACCGAGCACTCACTGTGCCTTACAGAGGAGAACAAAAGCGGGGCATTGTGACCATCATGTGCGGACCATGTGACGAAATGAGATGCTCATTGAAGTTTCGTCCTGCAGCGATATGCAAACTTAAGTGAATTGATGGCCGTGTACTTATTCTTCTCACTTTGCAACACTGTCCAGTGCCTCACACGAATAATGGGAATACATGAGACCCTCAGGAATGATTTTGCTAACCCACCGTCTTCCGGTAATCCTTTTTCGTGATCTTTTTCTATATCACGGGCCTATTGGTAGAGTGCTAATGACATATAGGGTTTTATTAAACCCAGATTTGACCTTTAGTGCAGTTCTTATCGGTTTTGTTCTGAATGGTTAATTGCACCAAATTGAGTGGTTCACACTCAATCCCAGAGGTTCATTGGACGGTCTATGCACCTAATTAATCGTGTATCCTATTCTACAAGCAGACGTGAATTTATGGAGCGTCTAAAACGCTATAGAAAGACTTAGTTCGATTCACCCGTCAAAACCTTGTTCTGTTTCAAATTTAGTGTCAAAGAAATTCAAATGGTAAATCCTCAAAAATAGCCTTTGATTTTTGCGGGCAACTGTCCTAGTTGTCTGTATGTCCATCTATTGTGGCTATAAAAGTGCTTAATTAGCCCAAACCGACGCTAAGTAGCACCTAACTTTAGCTCTAAAGGTAGCCCATTTACCTCATGTTTTTAGAAATAAAAAATTCGTAAGGAATTCGTATGGCACTATCTGGCACCTAGGCGTATTCAATCGATCTCATTGAATGCAATCTGCTAAATTTATAATCTTCCACATACATTATTGCTAGAGGGGTTCGATCCAGCATCATCTGCATGTTACGATCAATACAATATACTGTGTTACAATAACTTCAGCTGCCTGTCTTATGTTCCGCGCAAATATTTTAAATTAGGACGACGTGAAATTATTATGACCACTGACTGCATCTTTAAGTAAGTCCTGATCCACGGTAGCAAACGGTGAACGAGGAGGCAATGCTTCGTTTCCCTTTGCCTCTCGGACAAGAGAACCGTTATTAGGCTCTGCTACTAGCGGACGATTCTTTACGGCGCAACAGAACGGTAATAGCCAAAAAAAAATCGAATAATAGGCGACCTTTTTCAATTCCCGGCCTGATCGCCCTTTTTCTGGTCAGCGAGGCTGCTGGGAAATGAGCTCATTTCAGCGAAGAAGTGGAGGGTACTCGGAGTGGTTACGGATTCGACTGAACCTAGAGAGAAGCCGAAAAGGCGTAAAGCCGGACGAGGAGACAAAATAAAGACAATGCAGGGAGAGCAAACCGATATAGCAAATTCTCTGACATTAGTTCCTGCTACCTTTATTGATGTTGGCGATGACGTGGGACAAAACGTTTTTCAAGCTTTAACACTGAGCGTTGCCTCTGCCGTAGTACCGTATGCACTGGGAGTATGCGTTGTTCTCGCATTCTATGATGCCTGCTCGATGTATACATATATAAATATATGCTGTAACGAGCCCCTTAACAGGCACCAGCTGCATTTAAGGAAGTTAGTCCAACGAAGTCCTATTCGGAGGGGACGAATTATCATTCAGAAAAGGTTGACGTGAAGCGGTTTTGCGCCACGTAACGGAATCAGGGCAAAGCAAGATGTAGGCATGGAGGTGCTAGCGATAACGGCAGGTATTTTGGCAGCGTGGGTCACGACCCGATGGGCTCTCTCTACGCATATGGGGGACAATCGACTTTAGCTCTCAAGGAACCTGCGGAACGGCATAGCTATATATCAAATCGTATTACCATAATAAAAGACAAGGGGAGCTATTGGCGCCGTCAAATATCCAGCACAACTCTGCTCTTTCTACCCGGTACAGCAGAGGTTTTCCAGGTGACCAGAATAATATGCAAAGAATGTTCACCGATAAAAGAATGTAAGATAACATATTGCTTAAAAATTATTTAAGTTTACCATATTCGTAACGCTGTATTTCATAGGTGCTTTTATTTATTTGAAATAATTTAGCTTTTATGTTTTTATGAGGAACATACCTTAGAGCTTGCTGCAAGCTTTCTCTGAAAAAAAAAACAAGTTATTCGCTATATCTGCCATCTTAGGAGACTCTGGGGTGGTAGGGCAGAGCAGCGACTGTGTGGGCCGGTCTTGTCAAATAACATAAGAATTACTGACATGTGACGGGTGTCGAAGTGCAAAGCTGTCCACTTGTGCATTTTACTGAAAAGCACATAAATCAGGTTTATGTACTCGTCAAGACTTCAATAGAAATTTACATTCAACCCGTCACATACGACCTACGTCAGCTCGCGGCAGACACGAAAGAGGAGCTCGTCTGATTTTCTTCGGTATCTGACGGTTAGCACAAGTACGTTTTGCTCCAAACGAGTTTTCTATCAGACCGGAACCATGTTGATATTACTAAGCTGGTGATGCACGAAACTGCGCTTAACATAACCATATTTCTCCAACAATCCTACGCAGTCGCAAGCCGATAAAGCATCAAGATAATTTCCTAGTTCATCTTTCAGGAAAGCATGTGCAGGAACGAAACAGATAATTTACTGGTAGCCCCACCAAGCAATTTGCGAGTCATGTATACCTTGCAGGAATTACGGCTCCATGATATGCACTGTTCTTTTCAACCATTACGTTTTTTTTTGCATCACACAGTAGTGCTATCAAATTAACGCATAGAGCAAATCAGCTCATCGAACAATAAATCTAAATATTTAAATTAGATCTAAATTATTACTGCTACTGCCATTTAACCTACAATTCTGTCCTTAGCTTCTGTCACTAAAAAATTAGGAACACGGCCTACAAATATTAATGCCGAAAACTATTTTTGATGTTATTTTTAGAAAGAAGAAAAGCGCAGATACGACGGGGATGAGAGGCAGATAGGGACGAGGTGAACCCAAGTTGATTCACTTAGTGTCTTTTTTAGCCGACTCCAGATAGCCAGTCTTGTTCGTGACCAGGAATAGCTGCCACTGTTGTTTCCAACTACGCTGGTTAACGTCGAGGCTGTTTGGGACTCGAAATAGGCAGATTGTCCCTCATCCACCGGTCGCACTCTTAGTTCGTTTGTCACCCCACGCTTCGATTTCGGGTGGACAAACAGAAACTAAAAGGTGCGAAAGTGGGAAAACGGCTGGCTGCCCTACGCGGCTGGTGCTACCGCTAAACGAATCCTATGACTGCTTTTGGAATCCCCCTTCTCGTCAGCCCACATCGTCGAAAAGTTCGAATTTGATCAGAAGGAGCACGGTAACCGGGAAGGGTATCGATGACATGATAAACCCTCTAAGGTGGCTATGTCCGCGTTCCGGACTATTTCGAAGCTAATATCCACAGTCGTCCTTACTGATCCCCATCCCCACGACGTCTCGTTACGAGCTCGCTATTGGGGAAAGTACTCCTTTCTGCTGGCCCGATCAGAAGAGCGCGTGTCTGGACAATCGGATTGTCCTAAGTTGGGCGACAGCAAACGCCACGTAAGCGACTCAAGTGTCGTTACCTCATCCTACGTCGACTAAGGCTAAACAGCTATCGGTGAGGGGTTGTCTAGAAGAGGACTGTTTCAGTAGCAAAGCTGTGCAAACGTACCGACGACGCCTCAAATATCTCCACCATTTTAGCGAAACGATGTAAGGAGGGCCCGAACGTCAAGGTGAGTTGGCAGTCAAGTTAAAGTCAAGTTTCTCGAAATAATACGGAATCTTGCAGTCTACATTTGGCTACTACTTCGTAAATTAAACGTTAGATCCTCAAGATCATCCTATTGTTCGAATGTGTATTTAGGGGCGACGAGGCGACGAATGTACAATTCTGCGACGACGCTATATTCATATGCTTTTCTGTCTAAATGGCTTCGTTTGGCTGTGTTTCCACTGTGTCTTTTCCTCCAGGGGCTTTAAGGCTATGTCACTGTATCTACCTTTCTCCAATCACACTTTGCTACTCTGAAACCTGCGAAAAGATACCAACAGTCAAGAAACCCTTATGCAGAGGAACGGAATTTCGTCGAAAGTTTATCTATACAGTTTATACTAACAAACGTACTTGACGCACCTCAACAATGTGACCTGTGGACTATAACTTCTATGAACTTCTTTAGAAGTCTTGCTTAGTGTTGCTCTAACATAGTGATTTGCCCTTCACTATTCAAATGCAGGTTGAAATGTGCTCACTGATTGATAAGTTTTTCAGAAAGATGAAACTGAATCGATGAATTTTGTGGAATCATTTGCCATAGTCGTGCACAAAGGCGTATAGGATAAGGTAAATAACATTACGAGGTCCTTTTTCGCTTGCTTACAATGCTTCTAACTTAATTGTTTTCTGTTTTCCTTTCTATTGTTTATCGCGAGAACCATTTCTTTCCAGAACGAACGCTATTTTGCTCGATTTTTAAATTATCCATTTTGTGACTCAATCGCTTCGAGACTCCTGCGCTTTGCGCTGTACAGCCAGCGCTAGCAGCAGTCGAGAGAAGTGCATAATAACATGCTTAATAATAGTAGTAACAGATGAGTATGACCGACAAAAGGATGAAGTAAACAGGACAAAAAATGAAGTCGGCCGTTGCCAGCGTATTTCTGTGAGATCCCTTGCTCCCGCTTTGACCTACCCATCCCGTACTTCGCAGGCAGGCAGCCCTATCTGTAAACCGTGGCCTCTTACATAGGGCGGATGAAAAAACGTTTGGAAAAGTTGTCTTCAAATAAGAAGGGCCACATTCGCCTCGGCCACAGTAAGGTCTGCCAGCCTGGAGACGGGCGGTACGTACAAATCCGCAGGGTCTAAAAAATCGGAGGGATTTAGCGTTGGGAACAACATGCCGGGCGAAATGAACAAAAAGGGATTCATCATTACGTCTTCTTTCAGCACCATGTTTCGCACCTTCACTCGTCAGGTTTTTCGTCATCTACTTTCTATCTGCCCATCTGTGGGCTCCTGCGGATATCTTGGCCGCAACCCTGTGGGGAATAAGCACCGCCTGGATGGAAACGGGGCATAAGAATAGTCTTGGTTTAACCAGCTGCGCTATCCGTCTTATCCATCGTAGAACAATGAGACTGCCTATTTTTGTTTCTCCCATTCATCAAATGTTAGACATGCTTTGTGATGATGACAAACGACTACGGGTCTCGCGCTAGTGGCTACGTGGATGATGCGTGAGGTTAATATATCAATACGGATATGCGAACGAGATTCATTTGTTACGTACCTCTATGATCACTGACTTATACGTCCAAGATGTTCTCGTTAAGTTGATAATTGTGAGTGCTAAACATTTACTATCAACTTGCAGTATAGACAATAGACTCGTTGAAAAAACAACGAAAAGTTTTGTGCGATAAAAATGCACAAAATTAATTTTGTTCTTTGTTTTCTAATGATGCTAATCGTGATAAGAGTTCATTGCAAAAACCCTACCGGGCCACAATGCACCGCTTCTTCTAAAGCTGTACCTTTGAATTTTTAAAGAACTAGATGACTGTTATAGCACCAGGTGCCTAACCATTACGCTATACGTATATATATACATATAATAAAGCGGTAATGTGATAATAAACAATGGAGCGTAGTAAAACAATAAAGTGTATGTAGATCCATCGTTGATGAGTTTGTTGCTATGGGATCTTTTTTGTAACTTCAGTTGAGTTCATCCTTGTGAATGTCGTTTTAGCCTGTTGCCCGCTCATGTCGAGGCCACTCCTTACCTAATGATTCACGCCGGCGAATATACACAGATTTGCTTAGACAAGCAACAATCGATGCCTCATGGTTTTCTTATTTAGCCTCGAGACCAAACCGATTTGCTCACTCAGGCGTATTGCGACGCACTCCATCCATCAGTTGATGGATAACCTAATAGCTGATATCTCGCTTGCCTTTATGGAGCTTCCATTCTATTATTTTGTTTTTGTTAAAGGTCCCTTAACAGTGAGGAGACATTTTCCAAGGGACGCTCGCTAAACAAACATGTATCACTTGAAAGCTTAACTAAACTAGACATAAATGACGGAGATCATAAATTAATTATGAAACAATTATATATTCGCATTTACGAATAGAAAAATGCATTGTTTCCTTTTATTTCCAGATACCTCGCTCCCTCACCGGTTTCGATGCTGCATTTTGGATTATGTAGTTATTTAAATACACGTTTTTTTCATGCCAAATCGGAATTCACAATGGTAAAGGCATAATAAGTGCACACAGATACACAAATAGGAAAATCTGTTGATTTATTGTTGTATCCACAACAGGAGTCTGACGTTTGTTTTTTTTTTCTCATTATTTGATGCTCCTTCGCACAGAAAAACATTTTTCGATGTCTTCTTTTCGTGTTAAATGTTTCCGCTAAGTATTCCGTTTGGTTTTTATAACAGAGCCGAGAGGCTTGCGTCGCCATTTTCATGCTATCGACAACACACGTACTTCCCCAAAGGAACTTCCGCATTTTTCATACGTATACGAATCCTAGGACTAAATATATTCTACTGCCTTGTGCGTACATTTGATTCAGAAAAAATGGGTTAGACAACAGTAAACTCGGTTTTCTGCGTTTTGAACTCAGGACTTCAATTCAAGTTCGACGGTAGTAGACGATAATACAAGAAGTTAGACAAGCAGTTACTTCTAATCGAGCATAAGTTTTTCAGTTTCTCCTTTTGAGGGTATTTGAAAATCAGTAGATTGTCATTATATATATTAGAAATGTGTCATTGATTTATTAATCTTTATCCATAAATTTACAGCAAATGTGATTATTTTCAGGTTGTCCCTGTTCGTGGACGTGGAGTCTGTGTGACAGAGAACGACCGAATATAAAACGAGACTGCATGAATTTATGCACACAGAGGAGGGGTATGCCATCGACCTATCTGTGTAGAAGGAGGTTAGCCTCGATCGTTTCGATGAGTGTCACCGATCCTGCTTCCGCAGCACTGTTAACGCCAACAATAGAAAACACTACATCTAATACACTGAAAATTCGGCATTGCTGAAATGTTACGTTCATAGCAAAGCCAATTGGTCTCATTTTTCTGCACTAAGTAATAAATTTACGTAAATTAAGAAAAGGCTCAAGATAAACTAGCCTCCTGGGGCTCTCACACATGGCTTTAGCTCGTTGCTAACAAATGTACTCCATTACTTGTTATTTGTTCTCGGTTTGTTAGATAGAATTTGACGAAACTCAGCGGAGCTTAGGCTTCCTATTTTAGCTAGGGTACTTGAGCGAATGTTTTTGTCAGTTGTTCCAAACAAATCAGACGTGCCCAGTTTCTTTCCCTCATTTTATTCTTTAGATGTGTCTGGGCAAAATATGCCTTGCGAAAATCGGATCGTATGGAGCGAATAGGGTACCCTGCATTCAACGAAACTAAGATCGCGCTGATCCTGATGAATTAGTTCAAGAAATGCCGTTAGTCTGTAGCAGTTGCGTTCTGTCTTTCTGCGTTCAGCTCAATGATCGGACTAACGATAATTGCTTGAACCGGGGGTCATACATTGGTCAAAGACGTTGACGATAATATACGCTAAAAGCCTGACTCTAGCCATATTATGCTAAATGGGTTGGATTTGCGGATGAGAAGAAGGTCAAAGCCATTTTCCTGTATACGGTGCCCTCTGCGGCCGAATTATGCCCATATGTTACGCGGTTAAGCTCACAAGTGCCTCCATTATACCTTTCGGTTATTATAATCGAACTTATAGCCCAAAAACATTTGTAGTAAAGCTAACTATACCTATTTCTAATACTGCGCGAATTTAATTGTATTAAGGCTTTCGGTATGCTGCTCCTTTTTCTGAACGTTCCATCAAATCAATTTTTCATGTACCGTATTGTATTTCTTGCAAAGTTGTTCCCCTAATAGCTTATCGTCATAGTCATTAAACGTCGTTGTTTCAAAAGTTGGTCTGATGCTCAGTTTAACGAGTCGGTGCCAAGCGAGGATTCTGCGGGATTTTCTCGCCGCTGCTATACGCTCATCTTAACCACCACGCTAAAAACATATCATTATTCATAATTCACGGCAGAATTTAGAAATTTTTTTTTAACAACTTTTACCATGTACTACGGCACTCTCTCATCAGTGTGTCCCTTACGAAGGCTGTATGTAGAGTGTGACGAGTTGTCGGCTACTGTGAACTTTTTCAACCTGAGACATTTTATCCGATTCTATAAGAGCAGTAAATAGTGGACTCTTGTATGGTGTAGACGTCTGGTTGAGTAAATTTGCACGTTACGGGCACATGGTGTCAATGGGTCTGCAAAAAACGTTAACAATCGAATTTCTTATTTGCGTTCAGTTGTACGACCACCTGCGGCTTCTTGGTTAACGATATTGTGCTAGTAGAAGGACAAGATAAACTATGCCCGTGTTTTACTGGCGGTAATGTTCCGCAACGTTTTTTAGACGTCTCTATGAGGTCGAGATGGAACGAACATGATTGAATACACTGTGTTTGATGTCGTAAAAAACACATACTCTAATTAAGATTTCCTCTTTAGCGACTAGCACATGCCTGAGGTACCATGGTAATTTTACCGAATCAAGCTATTGCGAAACCTGAGCATCGACTATCGTACACCACGTATCAAGTATTGTGCTGAATTATATATATGCATCGGACGTTATTCTAAATAGTGCAAGTTACAAGTGGTAAATGGCGACACAGTCAAAAGCCCTAACCGAACCACGAATACGATTGCTTTTACTAACTAACATTACGTTTTTTCTTCGTATATCTAAAATGCCGCATAGTATCCATGTTGTTACGATTTTTAGCCACAGGTTCCTTTTCTGATAAATTTAGGTACTGTATTACGAATTGGAGGTTTAGCCACTCACGCGGGTCGGAAGGCATTGCAGTACGTCTGAACGATGCTTTATACTCGCTGCTTGTTGCGTCGTTTATTATAGACACATAGGGCTTTCTAGTACGTCCACCGTGAGGACGTTCTATTACTGCTAATCGCTTAAGCGTTCCTGGTAGTCCCAGCCGTCAGTTTCGAATATACATCTTAGCAAGTTTTCTGTCGTCGTTCTGTTTGTTATGATATCACAGTCACAGCTTGCTCAGTTACTGGAGGATTTAATTATCAAAACAGCTGATCTAATCTTCATTGTCGTTTCAGTTCGTTACCTA